AACCTTTTTCATATTTGTCTTAGACAGTTTATTAGGCAAATTTATGTTACCCTTTTAACTTGAAATTTCATTGCTAAGCCTAAATTAAAATGGAGACAATGCTAATCGAAGGTTACAGTGAAATTTTCAGAGCAATATTTGGAAACATAAACTTGCTTGAATTCATTTTAGTCATTTAAGTTACTTGCAAAGCCATAAACTTAAGTATACATCTTTGACTTTGGGCCTGTATGAGTAAACTTTGTCTGGAAGCACTTCCAAGAGAGAATAATATGAACTAAAAATAAAATAAGTTTCTTCTGTAAACTAAAACTAACTTAAAGATAAGTTAATTTGTAGAAGTTCTCTAATACAGACTTTTCTAGAATTTTATTATGGAGAAGCTTATTTTGATTTTTCTTTTGATTTTTTTCTCTTAAAAACGCTCTTGGAGAAGTTTATGCACACATACTCTATGTATGTGTTATATGTACCTCTTGTATCAAACAATCTTTTGGACAGTGGCAAAGATCAAAACAGTTAGCTTGTCACGGTTCCCTGAAGCAAGCAGTTCAGCAGCCGTGTGGCGGCAGCCGAATCTGTCAAAAATGGTTCCACCAACCTTTGTTCCATAGACATGATCATAGGTGAAGCCAAATTCAACATAACACATTTGAGACGAAGATAAATGTGCTTAAAGAGCATGATTATTATCATGAAAAATGTTCACAACAGTGACAACACACTCTCTATCTCTGTAGTACTCTTTTAAATCACTCAAAACACATTACACATTTAAGTCACTCTTTAAAAAAAATGTTTATATTTCTCTAACGGTAACCTAGCATTTTGCTTAAAAGGGTTATGTTCTTTATTTGTGCTTCCACCATAATTCTAGGTATACTGTGTGGAATCTTTTATTTCCTGATGGACAGGAGGATTTTTTGACATTTTATGTTGTTTCTCTTAGGTTCACGATGAGAGGGAATTTGATCGTGTTCTTGCAATAGAGGGGATTGAGCTTATTGGCATTAACAACCGCAATCTTGGTATCTCTTATCACTCTTCTCTCTTTCTTTCCCCTCCCACTTTTTTCTTTTATGATGAAATAGTATGTTTTAAGATTGAACAATAGAATAGGAAATGAAATAGTGGCACTTTTTTTGTCTCATGAAATCTCAGCAAATGCCTATAATTTACCCTTATTTTTATATAAATAAACAAAACTGAAGTTACTATGATCTGTTAAAGTAGTGAATGTTATCAGTCTCTAAAACTAAAAGTAAATGACAAACAAATCCTTAAAATGTTAAATAAATCTAAATTTAATTATTTATTGTTTTAGTCTTTTAAGTATATATCAATTACCAAGAATCAAAGTCACCGTATACTTAATAAACAATCTAAACATTTCCTCCTTTATACTTGTAATTTTTTCCTTTAGAATTCTGTTTTTATCGTTAAGTCCCGGAATATTTTCATCATTGATGTTGATAAAAAAAATAAAATAAAATAAAAGGGGTACACACTCCTTTCTTTGTTAACATTAACACTATTGACAAGTAACTAAATTTTGTAGCATGGCTCACTTCACTCACCCATGTAGTTTAATGTAGACACAAACAAATAAACACAACTTACATAACTGGAAGACACAGCTAAGAAAACTGACCTTTGATTTTAAGAGGAAACAAAAGGTAAAGCGGTTGCTAACTTGCTAACTGGTATGAAATGTTCACTGTTTCAAAACCTAGAATAAACTGTGCAATAAATGGACAATAAAAATTAAGCCTTCTTCGTTTTGGATTTGAGCATCACGAATCCAACAAATATGCTTAAGAAGTAAAGAAGTGCCACACCAGCAGAAACTGGTATCAGTATGGCATACTCTTGGGGTAAGAAGTACTTATGCACGAAATGATCATCATCCACAAATGGCTGAAAGTCCACAAGATCAATAGAAAAGAGTAATTAGGAAGTTAAAAGTCGGAGCCATAATTTATTTAAAATACTGAGAAAATTACTGACCAGTATGATAACCCAGAAAGTATAATAAGTAAATATCGATAAGCTTATAAAGGATAACAGAAATCCAACTGCTATGTCTGCTAAATCCATTTTGATGCTTATTGCGTTCACTTCCTATTAACAACGAACCAGACAATTGTGTTCTCATTCATGACATTAGATAGTAGAAACAAGCATAACAGTAGTCCATAAACTCAATGGTAACACCAACAAAATATTGTTACGGCTTTGCACAAATAATGCTGCACATTCTCTACAACAATTCAAATCTTATAACCGAATGCTGTGGTATCTTTTACTGTTTTACACACCAAATTAAAAAATCTGCTAATACAAGTAAACTTATAACCGAATGCTGTGGTATCTTTTACTGTTTTACACACCAAATTAAAAAATCTTCTAATACAAGTAAGGTAATGAATTTTCAAATTTTCCAAATTTAATACAACATGCTAGTCAGCATGACCGCACAATCATGAGTTGCCTGGATGAAAAACATGTATAAGTGATGCTTTTGGGCAAAAATTCACTAAAACCGTGGTAAACAGTTCTGCCAACAAACATTTGTATAACCAAGGTGAAAAATTAAAAAATAATTATCTATCAAACACACTCTTCATATTTATTATTCAAAGAATGAATTAAAATCTTTGGACAATTTTGGTGGTTTAATCATAAATAGGATTGAATATTTATACAATAACAGATATGAGTTTATATCTGATAGAGCATTAGAGCCAAACTAGTAAGGCAGAGTAGTGGGCCCAAGGGTTGGACTTTGGGAATCTACACTATGAGGAATAAAAAACAACAGATTTAGTAATCTGTTATCTATTAAGTTCTTATCTGTCATTAACTTATCTGTTGTTATGTTATCTAGAAGCATGTTTAATCTACGAAGTTTGTTGGTCTATTATCTTAAATTCTAGGAAGTTGTTAGGGAGAATATTTAAAAGGTATTGGGGAGTCTGTTACAGGATTACCTTTCAAGTTTTCTGAGATCATTGTGGAGAGTTAGGATCTCGGAAAGAGGGAGAGCAGATTCACTCTGCCTGTAACTCTCTTTTACTTGAATTAAATGGCTCTTTTGGATTTAGAGTCCATCAATATCCAAGAAGGCACTACACTTTTGTGTTAAAAAATGAAAAATACAACCAGGTTTTTTTTCTGAAATTTGAAATATGAATATTAGAATTCCAGTAAAAAAAGGTTGTATATGTGCGAATAACAATGGAAAGCCTTGTATAGCTGTGACAAAAGGAAAGTCTTTGGCACAGCAGCAAGACTCGTTATAACAGTCTCTAGCTAATTAGTCCAGTGAGGTTCTATGAGCAGATAAGTTTGTTACTAAACCAAACTTGTGTTGAAGTGGAATCTCAGGAAATTTTAGTTCTAATTAAAGACATGAACAAAGTAAAAGAGAAGCCAACCATAATTAAGGATAAGTTGTTAATGGTAGTTAAGGAAAACAATCAGTTCAAAAGGGAGCATCCAAAAAGTCTCCTAAAAGAAGAGAAACCTTGGAGATTGATTTGAAGAAGAATGAATTGAAAAGAAAGAATAAAAACATAGCTGCCTGGGAACAAATACCATGCCATAGTGGGCTGTTTCATGCTTTAATATGGTTTGTTATAGTCATTTTGGTGGACAAGTTTTATAACCTTGATTTTCAAGATTTTTCTTCATTAGTTGTAGATGAAAATTAAAATTAATTACATATGCCATATAGTGTATTTTTTGTGTAAGTCAATTTGTTCTTTTTGTCTATTTTGATTTGTTTGTGGGTTTTGTTTAATCTTTTAATTTCATGCACATTTTAAAAAATCTGGCAGAGAATTATATATGTGTTTATTACAGGTTAAATTAGAAAGAACCTAAAATCAAACAATTTTTTTTAAAAAAAAATTAATAATCTACATTGGTTCAGACAGGAAAAGATGTAAATGAGAGTACAATTTTACATCGGTTCTGTGTATAACCGATGAAAATTTGTGTATAATTTTACATCGGTTTTGTGAATAACCGATGTAAATTTGTGTACAAATTTACATTGGTTATACACACAACTGATGTAAATTTGGGAACAAATTGATGTAAAATTATATACAAATTTACATCGATTTTAAAACCGATGTAAAATGGTATACATATACTAAGTCACTCCATTCTACATCGGTTTTAGAACCGATGAAAATAGTGTTAAAGAACCGATGTAGATAACATGTCTTGTAGTAGTGATAGCATAGATAACTACTAAACAAAAATTGAACATAGGGATGTCACTCTTGCATAGAAATAGCATTTCAACCTTGCAATCCTTTTAAGAGAAGATGGTTCAAGATGCTTATTAATTAAAATCCTACATAAGTAATACCTTCAACCCAATGCAGATTAAGCAATAACAATCCTCAAACCTCATCTTATAATAGAAGAAATAAAAAAATTAACCACCTTCACATTCAAAAATTTTCACTAGCATCCTAATTGACATTTTCACCCATTTCCTATAAAGTTAAAATGTAAAATTTCAAGCAATCTAACCTCTGTGTCCGTTTTTTCATTTAAAACCTCACATTTTTACTGATTTTCATTTTAGATTAGAATCTAAAATACCACACAAGCAACCCATGTCTCCCATTTGTGAATGTGTTTTAGTCACCCAACGACACATGGCCACTTCCTCATTCTAAATATACAATATTGATCCAGTATACAATATTGTCCCTTAACCTCAGCCCCTAGTCCCCCACGAAACGCACAAAGTTCAAAATCCAACATGTATTAAAACAAAAATAAAAAAGAGCAACTCAACAAAAAAGAGCATTTTTTCTAAGGAAAGCTTAGAGAGAAAGCAAAAAATACCTTTGTTGTCAAACTTGGGGTTTTGGAAAACTAATAGGGTTTTGTCCAAGGAGAAGAGCCCGAGTCTCAATTAGGAACAAGTGAAGAGGTGAGTGTTGTTGGGAAGAGTGACGGAGGTTGTGAGTGTAGGTTTCACGACTCACTCCATCTACTTTATGCCTACCTTATGCCTTTTTCATCTATTTACTTTACTTTCCAGCTTATGGGAAGTGTAGAATTGACATGTTAGGGTTCAATGGGAGTATAAGAAAAAGGGGGCAGGAGTCACATTAGGGCTTATGGTTCATATTTTGCTTTTGAGAAGGGAAAATTTGACAAGTTAGGGTTCATTGAGAGTGAATATAGAAGGGACATGAGCAATATTAGGACTCAGGGTTCATGTTCTACTTTCGTGAAGGAGATAATTGATGAGTTAGGGTTCAAAGTTGGTGGAGAAGGGCGCGTGAGGCACATTAGAACTTGGAGTTCATCTTTAATGTGTGAAAGGTTTTGACTTGGACGATTTTAGTGAGTTTCGACCCTTTTTTAGTTTCTTTATTCATATAATTAATTTTATTATTTTATTTTCAATTCTTTGAGTCAGCCAAATAATCACTAATATTTAATATATTATCTTTTATAAAAAAAACTGATTGAGTAATGAGTTTCGTCCATAATTATAAATTTTTAAAAATATATATTGTTAGCTAAATCGACCCTAACCTCTATTATAATATATATTAAAATAAAATTTATTATTTAGTGTCTGCTTTGATTAACGCAAATGAAAAAATTAATGAAATAATATAAAGCATTACATGACTTTTGTTTATTGTCCATCTAGAGTTAGCTTAACCGACGCTATATGCGTTTGCTCCATGGCCGACGCTGTGTGGCCAACGCTACTTTCAAGCATTCTTGTAGTGTATGTATATAGTCTATTCGACATGTATCATATGCATAAAAGTGTTGTTGGGGTACAATATGAAATATATTGTTAGGAAAGACCCTTTTGTGTAAAAACTTAGAGATTAATCCTTGGCGATAGCTCAGTTTGGAAAGTCCTAGTTTTCCCCTTGTGTACATGGAATTTATCTTGTGTGGCTTAGTTATTTCGATCAGACCTTGATAGTACGACCTCTTGATGAGAGTGCATAGAGGGTATGACCCAAATTGTATTCCTAGGCTACTCTACGTGTATTTCTAGTGATAATGCAAAAGTGAGGTTTTTACTGACTTTACATGTATAATAATATATAGTCCGTGTCCATGGCATAATGCGTTATAATGTATCTATTATTATTTGTAATGCTATGATTGAACAATTCTGATGATAATCTTTATTTGTGTATACTTTATATATCTTGTATGTTTTGGTTGTGTTTGGTTATCTGGTTTGATTCTTGCATCGTGAACCTGAGTGAGATGCTTTTTACTTCCTTTGTCTTTGTTATTTCTCTTGCGTTGATTCCACAGGTGATGATCAACATGATGCTGGAGATGTCAGTGATGAGGCTTAGGCTTCATGTTGGATTACTCTAATAGAACATATGACATCGGGACGTAATTAGGACTAAATTAGGATTTTGTTTCTATTGGTTCATTTGGAAAACATCAATTTTTAGTTTCTTTGTAAATCTTTTAGTTATGTTATGTTATTTGTTTATGATATAATGTGATCCTTTCTATTTGTATGGATTTTGAATTTATTTATTTCATGAGATATTTCAATTTTATATTTTGTATGTGTTATGACATATGAGATAGAGGGTGTCACAAATAATAATAATAAAATAACTTTTTAAGCCCTTCTCATTTCTTTTTCATCTTTGAGATTATGTGTATTTTTCTTAATATATTTTTAAAATACAGTTAGAGATTAGATTCATAGGAAAAGAGTACTTGATATAGGGGATAAAGAATGACAATGCATGATGGATGGGATTAGTACAACATGCAAGAGGGTGAGTAGTTCATACAGGGCATCTGCCAACTGTATTATCTATGAACATGTGACTAAAGAAAAAACATAATCAAATTCATAGAGAAATGAATGAAACACAACTTTTCCTTCCTATAGTATGTTGAAGTTGTTTGTTTCTTCTCTTATTTTTGTTTTGTTGAATTTGGAGTTCTATTATCTTGTGTTGTCAAAGAATAATGATATTCTTAAAAACAAAAGCAATGGCTTTCATGTTCTCTCTTTTGATTTTGCATTTATTAAATTAGGTTTACCTAAAAAATGTTTGACTAATTTATGTTGTAGACTAGTTTTAGGTATTTTATTTATAGAAGGTTCATCTGCAATATTAGATGAACCATAATATAGACTAGTCTTCATAAATGTTTATTGTATTGTGTGAGGAAAAAAGTTGATTCATTTGATTGAATTTTTACTTTTAACAATCTCACAAATTAGATTCAAATCTAAAGTTCTTTGTTATTAGAGAAATGTTTATTAAAATATAATTTTAAATAATTTGTTGATTAATCAGATAACATGGGTGTCTATAATACATGTTGAAGATATGCAGAAGAATATCATTAATAACGCAATTAACTGGGAGATAAAGTTTATATCATAATTACATTGGTTAGATATTTTTTTTCTACTTTTCTTTGTCTTATTGGCACACTCTACATATATAAAGATATGCATTTGTAAACACAATAAAGTAAATAACATTGTTCTTTTAAATAGATGTATATGGAGAATTTCACGGACTTAATTTTACCTATCTTCATCTTTGCTCCATTCAAAGTATGCATAATTCGAGATTTGTTTTATTTCAAGATACCTTAGTGAAGGAAACAAGAAATGTAAACTTGTTAAGTCAAGTTTCAAATGCTTTAGGTACTTGAGAATTAGGATGTTCACTCTCCAAAATGTCTTGAAGTACCAGTATTCACCAGGATTGAGTTCCATAGGTTGCAAGTTTTTGTGTTTTCCTCCTGTTATCTTTAGCATTTAAATGGATTGCCAGAAATATGTCTTTGATAACTTAGAACGGTAGCTTCCAACCATTTTGGAATATTTTCTCCGGGAAAGCCTTCAAGATGCAATTTTTCAATCTTTAGAGGGAAACTGATATCAATATCACTATACCTCACGTCAGACACATTCCATGATATTTTGAGATGTTTAAGTTCAAACAACTCTTCCAACTCTAGAAATTCCTCATTATAGATCACAGCTCCTCTTTCTATATATATGCTGAGTCGCACTAGTTTCTTCAAATTTACAAGATGTGATATTTTATAGGAACTCTTGCTAGAACTACCTTTTACAAAGCCCTTGAGTACTTTAAGTTTAGTTAGCTTTTCAATCCCCTTTGGCATTCTGTCCAACAAGGGGCACTTAGACAAGTCCAAATGTCTAAGGTTTGTCAATGATGAAATATCATTAGGTAGTGTTTCTAGATTGTGACATGCCTTGAGATCTAGAGTTTCTAGGCTTTTAAGTTGAAAAATGGAGGATGGCAACTTTGATATTCCTGATATCCCACGAAAGCTAATATACCTCAAATACTTTTGACCCTTCAATTGTTTCAAAAACTCATCACTCACAACTTCGATATGATGTAAAGCAGAGTCTTGCAACCAACGACCTAGTTGAAGCACCTCCAAACTCTTCATTTTAGTTATCCATTGGGGTTCAAAATTAAGATAACTAGCACTCACATTGAAAACAACTCTCCAATGGTTAGACTTAAAATCAAATCCATCACTTAGTTTAACCCTTTGTTGGTCAAGTGCTAAAGTTGAATACAACCAATCATGACTATGAGATGAGCTTATTATTTGTGAATATAATTTTAAATTTTCCTTTACACCATTTTGTAACAATGACCTCTTCAACATAGGATAGGCCCAAGGATTAATTTTAAATTTATTCACAACAGGATTTTTACCCTGACGATGTGGTAGAATTAGCTTACTATTCAAAAGCTTATCCAACACATTGATCGTATCCCAATCCCCACCATAGTATGCCATTTCATCCCACCAGAGAATTATATTCCTTTTCTTTATAACAACATTATCAGGAAAAAGTAAGAGAGACAATAAGAAATGCTTACAATAATTAGGAAGGTTGTCATAATTGACCTTAAGCATTTCCAAGTCCTGAGGTGTTGGGCTTGAAGAGAGTGAACCTTTTAATTCATGAAATGTTTCTCTTGTTGCTAATGATTGAGCAGCTTCTATGTTACTAGTTTGGATAGCACCAGCTGGCAACAACTGTTGTGTTGAAACACTTATTCTCTTGCAAATCTCTTCCTTCTCTTTGATCAGATCACGTATGTTGGAGTTGCGAAGATAGCCTTCCACAACTGTTAACGTGTCAAGGAGCTCGTCTTCATTTCTCTTCACCATGGAAAACAAGTCCTTTATGCTATTTAGCACAGACTTCAAATCCTTCAATTTTTCGTGTTCTTCTTCAGTCATCACCAACTGTCGTTCTGTGCTCACCAGCCGCTTCAACAATGTTGGCACTGCTTTCATGGGATTTGTTCGAATAGACATTCTTTTTCTTCAAGGACAATGGTGTGAGATATTCAGACTCTATCAGATACTGATGAGAGAAACAATTTATTTTCGCAACAACAAATTGTGGGGTAGGACTCTGAGAAATTGATGAATGAAAACAATATATTTTCAGGGTAAGATTGACATCCACAATGCAGAGATTTTGTGACTTTATGAAAAATTGATGAAAGAACCAAAATATATATCACTTAAATAGATTATAATGTATGGCATCGAATCACACGTACTCATCATTGCATGTTTACAATTAAAGTCGAAAATTCTAGATTTCTTACTTGTATGATAAAATTTAATTAGAACTTATAAATGAAATTATGATATTTTAGTATCAGAATTTGTTTATAAACTTAAATTTATAAAAAAAATATATGATTTTGTTTATATTAATTAAAACAATTAAAATTTATTAAATTTATGTATAACAAAAAAATGGTGCTACAGGTAGTTTTTTAGTCTTAAAAAAAGAAAATTAACAAGGTTTATAATTTAAAAATATATAACATTTAGAATTTTAAATTTTTTTTATTTTTTTTTATGTTATATGCACTATATATGTTTGTGATTTAATGAGCTAAACATAAGGGAAAAAAAAAAAGAATTTAGTAAACTGGAACAACAAAAATCATCGAGGGAGACAGTAATGAAGAACATTCTATACTTGGCAAATTCATGAAAGAATGGTATTTTTCCTTTGGTTTAACTTTGGCAAGGAATTATTCCTATAAAAAATAAGAGCAAATAATCCAAAAACATGTTTGACATCATTCTTTTTCCTATTGAAGAGTTGCCACATACAGTAGTCTATTATTCCTGTCAAGAATGAAATCCATTGTTTTTAAGGGAACACTTGCAACATCCCTTAACTTAGTACACTGTTTTCAAACCGTGAGTTGCTAGGGTAAAGAAATGTATATACTTTATTTTAAAGAGATTAAAATTATATTAAATTATTATATTTAATAAGTTTTAAAATTTGAAATAGTAAATATATAATAATTATATACAAGTTACATATATGTGTTTGTGACAAATTAGGAGAAGATTATTAAGACATTGAATTTTGTTGTAACTTCAATTTTTTGGGTGTACTGTGTCATTAAAGAAGAAATGTGTTATATTTTTGTTTTAGATTTACTCTAATTTTGAAATCAATTGATATATTGAAGGATAATTGAAATTATAAATAAAATAATAAAGAAGTTTATAAATAAAAAATAAACTATGAATATATAATGCTGAAAATAATGTCCTAAAAATTAATGAATAGCTAGAAATTAGATATTAATTAATTCTCACTTTACAATTATGCAATTTTCTTTGTAGAGCAATTACAAATAATTTAGTTAAAAAAATAAAAAAATTACATAATTCCTATAATATAAGATTCTTCTATACATTCATTAAATATATTTAATTCAAACTCTATTATAAATTTTATGTGTGAAATATGTTGATCTTTTCCAAATTAACATGTAAAGTAAAAGTAAAAAAGAAAATCAAGAGAAGAAAAAATTGTAATAAAAATAAAGTTATTTGTCATCAACTTATCAACTTCCTTTTAATCATTTTTCTAAAATTAAACTCATTTCACAAACTTATATATACAATAATTAACTTTAGAAAACTTTATAACTTTTATTTTTAAATGTAAAATGAAAGGTTACCAGTAATTCTTTTGTGGTAAAAAATAATAAATAGTATAATATAACAATAAAAATCATATTAGCTCATTTTTCATTAAAAAAATAATAAACAGTATAATTTACCATTTTATTTATAACTTATAAATTATAAGGATAAATTACGAATATAAATAGATAATTATTTCAATTATAATTAGTAATAATTACATGCTATTAATTATTTTCTATAATTCACATTTTAATTAAATTCAATTTCTTAATTGTACATTAATGTAATTATATATTTAAAGTTAATGTAATCAATAATACATATATATATATA